GGGAAGGGATACTTTACCGTCCACATAATTTGGATTCTTGTAATATTCCATTTATGTTTTAGACTACTTGATTCACAACAGTTAGAGCAATTACATTTGTCTGTCATTTAAACGCAGTAATTAAATTAATATGTTATTTTGTGTTCGTTTTGTTTTGCAGCATACCTTCTGAATCAGCGTAATTCACTACCGCTAATCAGCTTCCAGAGAGATATAATACCTTCTGATAGAAGCAGCAAGCCTATATCATCTATCTGTAGGCCCAAATGAATTGTGAATTTGAGGTAAGTGTTCTGGGAAAGTAGAAAAAAACGTGTATCATTCATAAAATCTCTGAAAGAACTCTCACTCTGTATTCGCCTTATCCATTTTTATACAGATCCATTTCCCTTTTTGAATATTAGATTATTCTTAGTTTAAAAGTCCGTAACGGTTCAGAGGAGAGCAGAATCAGACATACTTATAGCTCTAGTTTTCCCCTTCTGTGTCTACATCAAGGGGATGCGTAACAAACTGACTTCACACTGGCAGGAGCAGGAGGTGAATAGTCACCGGTAGGGGATTTTTTTTAAAATTTCAAATAATTTAACAAATAGCCTAAGCTAAAGATATCCCCATTTCAGATTAGAAGAAGGATGGCTCACATAGCGACGCAGTATGATATGAACTGATACGAAGGAATCCCTCCTTATGTAATAATTTCGAAGCTTTAACCTCCATCGTGACCAAGGTCGAGACAGCTGAGATCTAGTAATGACTAATGCGCTTACTCACAACTAAACCATCATTCTCTTAACATTGACTTTCCCCTAGTAGACTAACTAGCTAACAGTAACGGCAGCGAAGTCTGGCTTCCATTCCACAACGTCACCAAATCGGTACGTACCAAAACCCAGCGAAGCGTGCACGCCGTGAGGGATTGTATCAACACCGGCGCTGACCGCCTCGGACAAACTTTGTTTTCTCAGCATCTATCCCGGAATCTCTGGTGGTCATCACCTCTCGTAACAGTTGACCGCACGGGATGGGGATGACGCCATTCGAGGATGCTTCAGGAATCATAAAGTCAACAGCGCGTGGTGGACGCGGGAAGTCCAGGCTCATCGAAGTGTGTGCCTCCTGAGTTAGCGCTGCGAGCCTTCTTGACATCCAATTATCTTTGTGTAAACTGAGCGCAGTAGGGTGTAGATCACATTACTCATTACTCGACGGCAAGTCAAGTGCATAGAGCAAACACTGAGGAATAAGGAAAAAAGGAGAGGGGATTGGAGTTGGGGTGAGGGGTCGGCGGAGGTGAACTGAAAGGATGGCGATAATTTGCTATTAATAAAATTTTATATGGATGAGAGGACAGTGTGTTATGGGCATTACAGTTTCTTTCAAACACCATAAAGTCTCACCCTGAACTATAAGGATTATCACCTTAAGTTTTGTTTTGTAGGTGAACACACCATTCACAGAAGCCTACACAAGATGAGTAGTGCCTCTTTCTTTATTCGGGGTGTTTAGTTATCACTGGACAGTGCACGACAATTCTAAACGAAATGAAAGAAAACGTCTTTAAAAAACAACAACAGGGTTATAATTAACTCTTCAGGTGCCGCTTAAGATTAATAGAAAAAAAAATACTTTTGAGCTCTAGACTCAGAAGAAAACAGGCCATTTATAAGGCGTAAGAGCAAGTTAGTATCGAAGGTCATTTCCTCCAAGTCCTCGTTGAAGTTATTGAAAAATATGATGACACATTCGTCGGTGAAGGGAACATTAAACAACAGAAATAAACCATCGGAACAGAGCAAAAACAGCAACGCTGATCAATAATCGTCACTTGATCTGGAAATTCTTCTTCACGGATCCGCATGCACATGAGTCTCTCGCCACAACAACTGAATTAACTTCCTGAAGGACGTTTTGTTTTTCCGACCGGCTTACAATACTACTGTACAGTAATCCCTTTGTCCGAAGTCCGAAGTCATGACGTAGTGTTGACAGGGGCCGTTAAAAGATGCATAACTCATGGGAGTAGTGCTTAGTTAGGTCTTCTAGAAAAGAAAGCGACGCACTGAAAACATCTTTATTTATAATAGATGTTGTCCATAAACTACCCCGACATTGTAAGCATCAGGGACTCGGACGTCAGCTCCCATTATTTTCGGAGATGGCGTTAGCGCGCTCTGCGAACGTTCATGCAAAGCGCTGCTGACACGCGTTGTATTTTGGGTAAGGTGGCATCCCCGGTTGAAGCCTTAATGTCGAGTCCCAGGACCTTGGAATGGCCCTAGATCAGCGAGGGTCCACCGAAGCATGCCAGGGGCTATCGTGTTTGCTCAGGGAATTATTTTCTTCTGTTACCTGTCTTGTTCGGAACGGTTACTTCTTTGTGAGATTCTCACATCGGTATTTTCTACATGACTCACGAGTAAAAGACATACATTAAAAGCTTCTTTGTTTATGAGTTCCATTCAACATTATATTATCTTATGAGCCTACACTTGCATTCAGCCTTTCTGATGTTTGGAGCAATAAATCTGAAATTGGCAACCCATTTGTCTTTTAATGGTTGTGTATTTTGAACGGTGCTGGGTTATTTTTTTTATTATTTTTTTATTAAAAATTTTTTTTTTTTTTTTATTATTATTATTATTATTATTATTATTATTATTATTATTATTATTATTTTTTTTTTTTTTTTGGGGGGGGTTGTTTGTTTGCTGCTTTTCAGAGGTCGAGAAAAATAAATAAACGTTGTCTTCAAGGGGGATCGAGCATTTCTTCAGCTCATGAGTCCCTCAGTGAGCACCATAGAGTAGAGGGAAATGACAGAAGGTGAAATAGTAGGGATACTGGATACTATGTGTATGTATGTGTGTGTGTGTGTGTGTGTGTGTGTGTTTGTGTGTGTGTGTGTGTGTCTGTCTGTCTGTCTGTGTATGTGTGTGAGTGTATGTGGGTGTGTGGGTGGGTGTGGGTGTGTGGGTTGGTGTGGGTGTATGGGTGTATGTGTGTGTGTGGGAGGGTGGTTGTGTGTGTGTGTGTATGTGTGTGTGTTTCTCTCTCTCCCTCTCTCTCTCTCTCTCTCTCTCTCTCTCT